TAGAATAGAATAGAATAGAATAGAATAGAATAGAATAGAATAGAATAAGGGATGGGATGGGATGGGATGGGATGGGATGGGAAGGAATAAAAGAGAAGAGAACAGAACAATGAAGAATGAAGAATGAAGAATGAAGAATGAAGAATAGAATAGAATAGAATAGAATAGAATAGAATAGAATAGAATAGTTGGAAGGGACCTTGGAGGTCTTCTAGTCCAACCCCCTGCTTAGGCAGGAAACCCTACACCACTTCAGACAAATGGTTGTACAACATCTTTTTAAAAAATTCCAGCGTTGGAGCATTCACAACTTCTGGAGGCAAGTTGTTCCACTGATTAATTGTTCTGTCAGGAAATTCCTCCTTAGTTCTAAGTTGCTTCTCTCCTTGATGAGTTTCCCCCTTTGCTTCTTGTCCTGCCTTCAGGTACTTTGGAGAATAGTTTGACTCCCGCTTCTTTGGGGCAGCCCCTGCGATATTGGGACACTGCTATCATGTCACCCCTAGTAAATTTTATACCTAGTAAATTTTATACCTATGAACTTATACCTATACCTCTTTTATACCTATGAACTTTCCGCACCATCTTTTATTTAAAAGGAAATGAAATATATCGGGACAAATGAACGATTCCCTTTTTTCTACTTTTCATTGTGTTGATTTACACAGGGGAAGCAAGTGTCCCCATTACAGGAAGTGATTCCGGAGAAATATATAGCCAGCAGAGATCCATTGAGCTGATCTTTCAGCTGCACAATTTTTATCTGGACCACTTATTAAGGCTGAGTGTCTTGGACCAATTTAGCCTTGCTTCACCACACACAGCTCAAAAGAGTAGGGAAAAAGGAAAGTGGGAATCAGAGAAAATATTTCCTGACCCTATTAACCTGTGATCCAGATCTGTGGCCATATGGCTCGGTCCAAATTTCTAAGAATTGTCCCCCGAGTTCATTAAAGATCAAATTTTGACTCTATCATCTCTGCTCCAATTAATCTTCTTTGAAAGCCCTGCATTGCCATGACTTTGTAAGAAAACTACTCCCTAGTGGCTAACCAAAATCAAAGTCTCATTTCAGATGTTATGGATTTTCTTTGAAATACCTGGCCTTAGCCAGCTGGAGAAAATCAATGATGGAAGTAAAACAGTGGAATCCTTGACTTTAAGTCTACAGAGACATCCAAGCTATCTTCCAAAATTCTATAAGTCTGTTTGCTTCACCCAAGTATCTTATCAAATGTTTTGTCCCCAAGACGCAGTTCAGGGTTGAACTGTTGAGTTCTTAGCATTCCTTGAAATAATCTGAAGATGTTTCATTACCTGGATAAGAAATTGACGATGTTACTTAGCCCGATTTCTGTCCACAGGAAGAGAAGTGAGCTCAAAAGAACCCAAGAAGCTAACAAAGACATATTATTATTTCAGCACATGGAGGAAATTGAATTAGCATCATGCATCCTGCTGCTTCTTTTCTTTAACTTGGTATAAAAATGTAAACACACCTCCCCTAACCCAAACATATCAAAAGAAGATCCTGGTCTTATTCGTTCCTTCCTACCAGATGCTTCTTCTTCTAGAAGAAGAAAACAACATCCTGCCAGCCATGCAGAAGATGATTTTGTTCCTATTTAGCAAAGTCTTGAAAATGTTAAAAAAAAAAGATGCTGAAATGCTAGAAAGAGCGCAAGGAAGAGCAACAAAGATGATTAAGACTGGAGGCTAAAACAAGAAGGGTTGGTGAAATTGGGTACATCTAGTTTAATGGAAAGAAGGTCGGGGTGGGGGCATGATAGCAGTTTTCCAATATCTCAGGGATTGGCACAAAGAAGAAGAGGTCCAGTTTGACACACACACACACACCTGCTCTACAGTATATATCTGACATTTGGTAGCCGTTATCTTTCAAAAGCAACTTTTCCTACAATTGTCATCCAGATCGATCAAGGGCACCTACCAAACTTTTTTTTTTTTTTAAAAGAGGATTTAACCAGCCTTCTAAAGCAATGAATCTCAATCCAGATCAAATCTTCCAGGTAGGTGTATAAACCCTGCTTTACATCATCTGTGAATGCTAGGGTTAAAACTAATAATAAGACCGATGTACACTTTTGATGCACACTAATGTGTAACAAATGAATCCAAAATAGATTTGGATTTTTTTCTGCGTTTTTAATCCAATACCTTTTTCTGCTAGACGTTCTTTTCTTCTCTTTATACTCTTCTAACACGTCTGAAGGTTCCTTGCTGTAGGTTTCCTGGAAGAATAAATTCAACGAGTGAACAAATAGAGAGCTAGACAAATGTAAGGCATTTGTCCCAGTCTTTTGATTATGGTATTACATCTACTCATTATTCCCACCTCTTATAAAACAAGCCTTATTGATATATCTTTTATTGGTAATGAGCCATCCAAGAAATAATTGACATTTGTATGTGTGCTGACATTTGTATTCTCTGCAAAGTAAACATCTAAGCAAGTAGATTAACAGATCAGAGCAAGTTTCCTTATTTCTTTTTATTTATTTGACTATTTTTATCCCACCTTTATTATTCTTACAAATAGTGTAAGGTGGCGAACATATCCAACACACCTTCCTCCTTCTATTTTCCCCACAACAACAACCCTATGAGGTGGGCTGGGCTGAGAGAGAGTGACTGGCCCAAGCCTGTATTAGCCTTTCATGCCTAATACAGGACTAAAACTCACCGTCTCCTGGTAGTTGGCCCAAAGTCACCCAGCCAACTTTCATGCCTAAGGTGGGACTAGAATTCCCACTTTTTGGTGACTGGACCAAAGTCACCCAGCTGGCTTTCATGGCTAAGGTGGGACTTGATGGTCTCTTGCCTTCTAGACTGGTGCCTTAATCACTAGGCCAAACAGTGGTTTTGCTCAGTGGCGCCATGAGGTTCCTTCTCAACAGTCCGCAATTGGGATGTAACTGAGAGATCAACCTATATGTACCTAGGCCTAATTACCTGTACATGAAACTAGACATATATCTATCTACATTTGCCCTTGGAAGGATT